CGCCAAACCATCACCAGCCGCAACCTCCGCAACCTGAACCCGGCCCCCCTCCACTCAGCTGCCGACCGCTTACACGACAGCATCCTTCCACTGTCTTGTCCTGACCTAGCCACTAACACGTACAACGACTCACTATCAGCTACCCTAGACTCTCTGGCACCCCTAACCACACAGGACATAGTCAACTCGCCAATCTACCTCCCCACCTAGCCTCCCCCCCAGTATCTCCCCCTCATCTCTTCCCTCCTCTGACCTCGCAACCGCACTGCCCCCCTCCACACCCAAGACCCCGCTTACCGTAACCCCCACCAGCTCTGCACTCCTTCAGCCCTACTACCACTGAGGAAGTCACCAGGGTCTTCTCAGAAGCCCGCCTCACTACCTGCCCCCTGGACTCTATCCCCTCTCGACTCCCTCCAGTCACCCCCCTCTTCCCTCATCTGCTCCCTCACCCACATCTTCAATCTCTCCCTCTCTACCGGCGTATTCCCCTCCCCCCTAAAGCATGCGCACATCACCCCATACTCAAACCCCCCCCCTCCCTGCCCCCCTCGACCCAAACAACCTCAGACCCATCTCCCTGCTGCCACTCACTTCCAAACTCCTGGAGCGCTTAGTCTACAACCGCCTAAGCGCCCACCTAACTGACAACAACTCCTTGATCCACTACAGTCCGGCTTCCGTCCCCTACACTCCACCGAAACCGCCCTCCTCAAAATCACCAACGACGTACTAACCGCCAAAGCCAAAGGCGACTACTCTGTCCTCCTCCTCCTGGACCTCTCCGCGGCCTTCGACACAGTTGACCCACCCTCCTCCTTAATAAACTACTCTCCCTTGGCATCAGAGCACCGCTCTCTCCTGGTTCTCCTCGTACCTATCCCGACGCTCCTTCAGTGTCACCTACAATGGTGCCACCTCCCCCTCACTCCCCCTCTCTGTTGGGGTCCCCCAGGGCTCTGTCCTTGGACCCCTTCTCTTCTCCATCTACACCTCCTCCTTGGCAAACTCATACACTCCCACGGTTTCAACTACCATCTCTATGCTGATGACACTCAAATTTACCTCTCCACCCTCACCTCACCTCCACTTTCTCCGCCCGCATCACTCACCTCCTAAACGACATCTCTGACTGGATGTCGCTCCATTTCCTCAAACTCAACCTCTCCAAAACCGAGCTTCTCGTCTTCCCTCCTGCCCGCGCCCCCCCCCCCATCCTATCCATCACTACTAACATCACCACCATCAATCCCGCCCCGCAAGCCAAAGTCCTTGAGTCATCTGGACTCTAACCTCTCCTTCCAACCTCATGTCAAATCACTCACAAACACGTGCAGACTCCACCTCCGCAATATCGCCAAAATACGCTCCTTCCTTACCCCAGACACCACTAAACTACTTGTGCACTCCCTGATTATCTCACGCCTTGACTACTGCAACTCCCTCCTCACCGGCCTACCCCAGTGCAGGCTCTCCCCGCTTCAGACCATCCTCAACTCAGCGGCTAGACTCATCCACCTCACCACCCGCTCCACCTCTGCCACCCCCCCTCTGCCTCTCCCTCCACTGGCTCCCTATCGCCCAACGCATCAAATTCAAACTACTCACTCTGACCTACAAAGCCATTCACAACACTGCCCCTAACTACCTCACCAACCTGATTCCCAAGTACCACCCTACCCGTACCCTTCGCTCTTCACAGGACCTCCTTCTATCTTGCTCCCTGGTCTCCTCCTCACACGCACGTCTGCAAGACTTCTCCAGGTCCTCCCCCATCCTCTGGAACTCACTACCCCAATCCATCAGACTGTCACCTTCCCTCCTCACCTTCAGGCGCTCCCTGAAAACCCACCTCTTCAGGGAGGCCTACCCCACCCTCACCTAACTGCTGCTCTCCTTCATTCCTCCTACCACTCCATCCCCACAGCCACTTCCTCCTGTACCACTACCCCCTCCCTCCTAGATTGTAAGCTCGAAAGAGTAGGGCCATATAACCCCTCCTGTGCTGTTTGTAGTTGCTGTAATGTTTCATGTATTGTCCCCCCCTCTATTGTACAGCGCTGAGCAAACCCTTAGGCGCTATATAAACTCAATGTAATGTAATGTAATGTAATTAACCCTTTCTACAACCCGAACACTAATCCTACCTGTAATCCTAAAATTAACTCTTTCTATAACATAAACCCTCCCTGCAACCCTAACACTAATCATCCTGTAATCCTAGCACAAAGCTTAACTGTAACCCTAACACTAACCCTACTTGTAATCATACCATTAACCCTTTCTATAGCCCTAATACTCTCCCCCCCCCCCATACCCTGACCCTATGTGTAAACTAACCGTCCTTGTTATCCTAACATTAATACTTTCTATAACCCTAACACTTAACCTACCTGTAATCCTAACAGTAACCCTCCTTTTAATCTTAACATTACCATTTCTATAACCCTAACACACCCTGTATCCTTCACACTAACCCTTCCTGTAACCCTAACACTACCCCCCATTTAACCCTAACACTAACCTTACCTGTAACCATAAAAACCTACCCTACCTGTAATCCTACTACTAACCCTAACACTAACCCTACCTGTAATCCTGCCATTTCTATAACCCTAACACTAACACAACCTGTATCCTTCACACGAACACCTCCAGTAACCCTAACACTAACTCCCATTTAACCCTAACACAAACCCTACCTGTAACCATACAATTTACCCTACCCATAATCCTACTACTACATAGTTACATAGTTAGTCTGGCTGAAAAAAGACAAAAAGTCCATCCAGTTCAACCATTAAAAAAAAAAAAGTTATAACCCTACCTGTAACCCTAACACTAACCCTTTCTATAACACCAACACTCCCTCTAACCCCAACACTTATCCTTCTGTAACACTAACATTTTATGATATTGTTTTGGTTACTATTTATTCACTTTTTTTAAGAACACCTATGCTCAAAATCATAGAGACAGAAATCCAACCTTTTTCTTCAGTATATTTTTTGACGTATTGCCACCTAATCAGTCAATGTCCTAGCATCTCTTTTACTGGGTCTAAAAGGAAGGCCCAGTGTTAAAGGAAGAAGCAGTACATAGAGCCAAAAAAATTCATGCTTTCACGGGGGCGTGCTGATAGGAGGAGAGAGCAGAGAGAAAGAGATGAGCTCATCACTGTGCCACATCTCTTTTCACTGTCTGTTCACAGGCTGGGGGCATGTGCAGGATAACTGGGCTCAGTAGAAGTGGGTTGAATGATGCTGGCCATCAACCTGATGAAATCTAGTGGCAGAAAAAAGTACTGCAGGGAAATTCTCTGGATGGTGGGTAAATATTGAAATAACGCAACAAATGTTTTGGTTAGTTTACTTTTGAATTGGGCTATTCATTTCTTATCTTGTTTCTTTTGGCTGGAGTTCTCTCTTTATACATATCCATTTTATTATTTTGTTCCGGTTATTATTTTATCACATCTTTTTTTAAGAGCACCTATGCTTGAAATCCCAGGGACAGTAATCCAACCCTTCCTTTCAGTATATTTTATGAGGTATCGCCACCTAATCAGCTTACTCCATTGTATCCGCTCATGATTTATTTGACACCCTTTAAATCTGCTGGCCGTTGATAATAAATGTGTTTGTTCCACAAAATACCTTTTCTTCTCCATCTCTACGCCAAGGTATAAAAGCAACAGACTTTATAGAAGAGATATCTCACATTGGCAGGATACAAATAAAATAAACCAGAATACATGAATTTAAAGGAAAAATATAATTTATTTTCAGTAAGAAAAAATTTGGAGTTAATATTGCAGCATTTACCTTAAAGCAAAACTCCAGTTGAAAATAAGATAAATTAATAACCCAATTGAAAAAAAAGGTTAAAAAAAAGAAAAGTAGGTTTTTGCTGAAATATTTACCTACGTCCATAGATTTTCCTTGCAGTAGCTTTTTTCTGTCACTAGATAATCTCAATATGTTGTCCAGCATCATTCAACTTAATTTTCTTAACCCAGTTCATCCCGGACATGCCCCCAATTTGTGACTGGACAGTGAAAGGAAAAGCAGCACAGTGATGTGTTCATATCTCCCTCACTCTACTCAAGCTTGCCCTTTTTTTGTCATTGTAGCAAATGTAGACGTCTGTAGATTAGTCACTAGAGATGGAGTACATAGGCAACTACTGTGATGCTGCTCAAAGTGGAACTATGTAAAAAAATGAAGGTGGTTCTAAGCCTGGGTTCACACCGATGCGGTGCAGAATTCACAGTGGTTTCTGTGCGAATTCTGCACTGCATCACAATCACACCCAGTTCATGAGAACCACTGCGGGTGTGTATGTTAACTTAACAACACCCCGAATTCAGACCGCAAAATGCAGTGCAATGTGCAGAATCGGATCACATGGGTGTGAATACCCATGCGATCCGATTCTAGTGCAAACCAAAAAAGGATCCTGCACCTTTTTGGTGCAGATATGGTGCGATCTGAGCTATACAAAATGTATGGCTCAAATCGCACCACCCAGAATTTGCATGTGATTTGCACAGGAATGCAGTGCGGTTCCTGTGCAAATCACATGCAATATGCCACGCCACACCACTAAAGTCACAAAAATTTTTAGCTTAATGCATGCCCTGTCATGGAGCCTGAGATAGGTTTAGCCGATTTGTAAACAAATCTCTTTACAAGCATTTTATGTGTTCTAATTTTCCAGGGAAATGCCCTGAACCATCGAGGAACACCACAGAAAGCACCTTTACCACCATTCCATGTTGTGAGAGAACCTTGAAACCTATTCAAGCAAATCTGTTTGGGTGGAAAGACATTCTCCTCCCTTTCACACCTATGGTTATCCTCATGTGAGCTGGACAGATGGAGTCCCTTTGTAAATCCACCACCTGGTTGCGGGATGAGCTGGACTCTCCTGCTCAGAACATTCGTATTCTGGACTGTCGTAACCGGGAGCTTTATGACTCCTCTCATGTAGAGAAGGCTCTCCATGTGGCATTGCCTGGCCTTATGCTTCGAAGGCTACGCAAAGGAAACCTTACTGCCCACTCCCTTCTCCCAGGATCTCCTCCAGCTTCGAGAGGAATGGCTCTTCTGTACGACGAGTGCACTGCCAGCCTCCCAACACGTGTAGGGGTTCAGTCAGAAGAACAGGAATCGGTTCTCATTACCTTACTGCAGAAACTTAGGAAGGAAGGGTGCCAAGCTTACTACTTGCAAGGTAAGTGATAACATCTGTACATTTTTAAAAAGTTCCAGGTTTGATCTGTATGGCGTAGTTACATTGGTTCAGCTTGGACCAATCTAATTATGCATATTTCATACCTGAGGGGTTGCTGGGAAAGCTGACAAACTACTAGAGTAGTCTATGCTACTACAGGGATAGCCCTGACCTTCTGGGTCCTGTTCTGAGCACGTTGGTCACAAATGAACAGCACTCTATAAATGGTTGAGGTGAACCTTTCATTCATTTGCTTGCCCTCCATTCATAGAGTGCTTTTCACTGTGGGAAGCAATAGTACAGCTTCTATGAATGGAGGAGGGGTACTGAAGGTCAGCACAGTCAGCACTCTTGACCAATGCCAGTATTAACCCCCACAGCCAGGTTTATCCAATACTCAGGGCAAAGTTGCAGAACCCCCCCTCCTCTGCTAAAGCATGCCGTAGAATGGGTGTACCACCCTGCACTTGTTTTCTCTGCCCCCTTGCTCCTGCTGTCTATGGTTGGCAGGGAGTGTGCACTGCACTTGTGCGGCCAATTGCTTTCTTTCTAGGAACTAGACGGTAGTTGCACATGCACTGTGTTTTTCACATCAATTGTGGTTGGATAGGGTGGAGAGTGGGCATGTTGGAGTACAGTGTGACAGAGCAGTAGCTGGCAGATTAGATATGAAGCGGTAACCGACTGGTTGCCAGTCACTTATCTGGAGCATGCATGCAGTCAGGGAGTGCCCTCCTGCCCACCTTCAGATGCCCCTCCTGCCAACCTCTTGTCCCGGCCCTGCCTGCAGCAACAAAGGTTTACCAGTATGGGGGGGGGGCAGAGGACTTTGGATTTCACCTTAGAAAGTAGCCACCAGCACAAGGGACACTTCTCACTGAAAGATGGAACTGCCCATTATGCTGATTTACAAGAAAAAAGTGCATTAAACTTAGTCTATAATGATAAATAAGATCCAGCATACGAGTCATCAAAAACACTTTTTTTACAGATATAATTTAAAAAAAAAAACAAGCAAGAAATGCGTTTCAAGTTCTATATATTTAATTTATTAAATTGTTTTCAGCTTCAGTTCATTTATGCAGTATCTATAATTTCATGCAGTGTTAGAAATTGAATGTAAATAATAATTTTAGCAAAAGTGATTTAATTACGATGATCATAAGGTAATTTGCTTTTCTCCCAGTCTGCTCAAATCAATAAATACATTTTATTGCAGAAGTATATATTTAGATTTTATTCTGTGGGGGGCGAAAAGAGTGAATTAACGAGGATAGGCCTTGAAGAATGGGATTTGGGATATGGTGATCCAAGAAGGTCCGAGGAGTTCGGCTGCAAAAGGTTGGTTATAGACCCATGGGGTGATTCGGATTGTCCATTAGAAAGAGGAAAGCCTGTGTAGTGAATGACTCCAATATAATGATTAATGTATCTGTTGAATCTAAAGGAAATGACTTACAACTGCTGAGGTTGCAACACCCTGTAGGGTAGAAACACGCAACCTTCCATGAGCGCAGGGGGTGAATACCTCCATGTAAAGAAAACAGAGGGCACACCGGCCTAGTGCATTACCTACATAAATGTAATGAATAGTGATATACTTACAAACGACAATGATAAAAAAGTTCATCATGAAACACAGCAATGTCCAGTCTGCCTGTTACGTGATCCTTACAGGAACACTGGACCTCCAGTAGGCTAACGTGTTTTGAGGACTTGCCCTTTCCTCAGAGGCTCCTCCTTGAGGCTCTGAGGAAGGGGCAAGTCCCCGAAACACGTTAGCCTATTGGAGGTCCAGTGTTCCTGTGGGAATCACCATAACAAGCAGACCGGACATTGCTGTGTTTCATGATGAGTTTTCTTATCATTGTCGTTTGAGAATATCACCATTTGTTACTTTCATCAATAAATTTATTTAGGTAATGCACTAGGCCGGTGCACCCTCTGTTTGTTTTCTTTACATATGTGTTTTGAACTTCCCCAGTCTTTTGAGGGCAGCAAGGCATGCAATATCCAAGATCTTCCACAAGGATCCGTAGTTACACCAAGCTCACTCCCAAGTACAGGAGTGTTTTTGTGTTTAGTATTTGGGTGAATACCTCCATGCAGGATAGGAAAAGTCATTCCCAATACCACGGGGGGCCCAGTCATAGATTTTCTGCTGGGTTCTCAGGGGGGTGCTGAATCAGGGGAGTTGGATAACGTATAAAAAGCCCGTTGGAGGTCAGAGGCACCCCTTAAGGATGGATCAGAGCCATCTGGTTTACCAAACATTGATTTGCTTTATTTCACCAGGCCTTGGAGACAGGAGAATTAGGTTAATACAAGTGTGCAGAGCATGTGGTGAGCTTTGCATGCTCATGGAGTGTAATACCTATTCTTAGTCATTTCCTTCAAAGCATTCATTGTAGACTTGGGGCCATACATTTATGATCAATCCCCAATTATACACTGTTGGATACCTATTAGAACATTAGCCATGTTTGTAAACCCTATTTGCCAGCCACATTTACCAATTGTTCTTGGCCACCCCCATGTTCCTGTGTGAATGTAGCCTAAGAAAATATATTTGCCGGGATTAATTCTTTTACAAAGGACATTTCCTTTTCCAGACCTGGCATAGAATACTATGAAAAAAACAAAGAACAGAGGGCTCGCCAGCCTTGCGCATTACCTTAGTAATAGCTAAGGTAATGCACTAGGCTGGTGCGCCCTCTGTTCCTTGTTTTTGCAGTAATCCTTCTGGGTTTCCCTGGCCCAATAGGGGGAAAACAAAGCAGGTGCCAATATGGGATTAGCCAAAGAGTATAGATTAACTGTTTTCCAGTACACTTCTCTTGAGCGTAGGAGATTGGTCTCTTCTTTTTTGCATCAAATATTATGACATTGTGTAAATTCCCGAGATGGAATTTGTTCGGAAAATGGAGAAATAATCTGCGTGATCACAGTTAAATGAAGCTCCATTTTTTAGACATTTCAATAAAGATAAGAAAATACAATAAAAAACTAAGCCGTGCAATGAAAGAGGTCTCGTTGGTGGTCCAATTGGCAGAGGCTCCCATTGTTATATGCCTGAGGATGGGTCAGAGTCATCTGGTTTAATGAAGATCAAAATGCTTTATTTTGCTGATAAAATGTGTTGCGTGGCTTCAAATTGGTACATACGCAGTTCAGGGTGATAAAGTGATGTTTAATCCAGCTGCACACATATATCCAGAAGCCATACATCCATCCAGACCACTTTGTCTTTAAACCAGATGACTAACCTATACTGACAGGTTTTTCTAGACCCTTTTCAACTCACTTAGTTTAAACACCATCCTAAGAACCCTACAGAAGATCCAGGATCGGGACCCCCGTGACATCATTAGCAATCAGAATTATCCTGTGTGGAGACAGGGTTTCCTCCACCTGCCCAAACAGAATATTGGGTGTCTCCACTGCTCAGGGTGACCACAACTTCAGATATTTTTTCGCCTTTATCTCACTGATGAACATTTTGAGCTAAATATCCCTTAGTAACTTACTACACTCTAAGGGCTCTCCCGTCTCCCACTTATCTTCTACGGTGGACACCCCAAGCTGCCCCAGAGAGACTACTGGTCAGTCCTTTTGGGACTGAACCCATCAGACCCATTGTTACAACACACACCAGTGTGCGTGTGTTTTAGTGTGCTGGCTGGTGTGAGCAAGCCCTAAAAGCCATCATAAAGGTACCAGTGGACCTCCATTTGTCTCTATGATGGTGTGTCAAGATTGGTCCTGATATCAGCAGATGTTAAAAGTGGACAGTTGTAATTTGTGTCCAATCATATTGTGAAGGGAAAAAATGCTGGGCTACATGAAACAATGGCACAATCCTTATACAACAAAAAACAAAGTGAAAAAATAAAAATATATATATAGAAGATAAAATAGTTGAAAAAATTATTGATATTGAAATAAAAATATAAATTGATTATATATATATACAGTGGGGATCGAAAGTTTGGGCACCCCAGCTAAAAATTTGTATTAATGTGCATAAAGAAGCCAAGGAAAGATGGAAAAATCTCCAAAAGGCATCAAATTACAGATTAGACATTCTTATAATATGTCAACAAGTTAGATTTTATTTCCATCATTTACACTTTCAAAGTAACAGAAAACAAAAAAATGGCATCTGCAAAGGTTTGGGCACCCAGCAGAGTTAATATCTTGTACTGCCCCCTTTGGCAAGTATCACAGCTTGTAAACGCTTTTTGTAGCCAGCCAAGAGTCTTTCAATTCTTGTTTGAGGTATCTTTGCCCATTCTTCCTTACAAAAGTCTTCCAGTTCTTTGAGATTTCTGGGCTGTCTGTCACGCACTGCTCTTTTAAAGTCTATCCATAGATTTTCAATTATGTTGAGGTCAGGAGATTGTGAAGGCCATGGCAAAACCTTCAGTTTACGCCTCTTGATGTAATCCCCCGTGGATTTCGAGGTGTGTTTAGGATCATTATCCATTTGTAGAAGCCATCCTCTCTTTAACTTCAGCTTTTTTCACAGATGGCATCAAGTTACCATCCAAAATTTGCTGAAATTTTATTGAATCCATTTTTCCATCTACCCGTGAGATGTTCCCTGTGCCACTGGCTGCAACACAACCCCAAAGCATGATTGATTCAACCCCATGCTTAACAGTTGGACAGAGGTTCTTTTCATTAAATTCTGTGCCCCTTCTTCTCCAAACGTACCTTTGCTCATTCTGGCCAAAAAGTTCAATTTTAACCTCATCGGTCCACAGAACTTGTTTCCAAAATGCATCAGGCTTGTCTATATGTTCATTTGCAAAGTTCAAACGATGATTTTTGTGGTGAGGATGTAGAAGAGGTTTTCTTCTGATGACTCTTCCATGAAGACCATATTTGTACAAGTATCTCTTTATAGTGGAATAGTGTACCACAACTCCAGTGTCTGCCAGATCTTTCTAGAGGGATTGTGTAGTCAAACGTGGGTTTTGAATTGTTTTTCTCACAAT